ATTTGGACATTATAAAGATTTCACATATGAAATTTAAAAATTTTCTGATGCATAAAAGTATTTTTAACCTTAAATTGAATATTACTTTGCATGATAGACAGGCAACATGTGAAAAGAAAAAAAAAGACACAAGAAAAACATTGCTTTATAAACCTTAAGACTTAATAAAAAAAATTTATATTTTGCATATTAAAGCATTGTAATGTTTACTGATAATCTGCCAAATTTTGTTCACAATCGCTTACTAATTTAAAAGTTATAGCATGAAAGCTATAACAAGCACAAAATAGTTATCAGGTCAGTCCCAGGGTCCGAGCCCATGCTGAAAGAGTTAACTCGTGGCAGTAAAATCCATAAAGCAACTCCAAAGCTTAAGCTCATTATAGTAACCTATACTTGGGACACACACACATCATATATAACTATGTTAATAAGACTGTAATATTTGTCCAGGTGTAGCATGAACATCAAAAACTCACTTGTTGGCCACTGCCACCGGTTTACCATCAGCACCAACTCCTGCCAGTTTCATGCATCGGTAATTTTCATAGTGAACATTATTGGTTACGTCCCTCAGGTCTTGCATGTGAGTTCTACAAAAGGAACCAGCCTCATACAGCAGTGTTTGAACAAAACCTAACTTTTTGTTTACGTAGACAGAAGTATAGGATTGTATACTGCATTCATAATAATAGCAAATATCAGTCTTACATAAAAAACTATTTTCTATTACTTTATTTTTCAAGTTTAATTTCAACATCCACATAAACCTGTCCTGAAATAGTATAACATCAGTATTAATATTCTTAGATTACAATAATACACTCATGAGATGCCATTAATTGACAATTATTCTGGGTGTTGTAAACTTTATTAATAATTTATTTTCCTTTCTTATGGGCATCAAACAAATATCTGACTTTGTTCACAACTTAAAATTTATATCAATAAGGTTGCAATACAGTCGAAACCTTGAAGATTAAGGTATCTATAGAGAACAATGTCTGTGTCGAACCTACCCTAACATCATGTTTCTGATAGTCAATGTCTGTGTCAAACCTACCTTAACAACAGGTTTCTGATGGTCAATGTCTGTCAAACCTACCTTAACATGTTTCTGATGGTCAATGTCTGTGTCAAACCTACCTTAACATGTTTCTGATGGTCAATGTCTGTGTCAAACCTACCTCAACAACATGTTTCTGATAGTCAATGTCTGTGTCGAACCTACCTTAACAACATGTTTCTGATAGTCAATGTCTGTATCAAACCAACCTTAACAACATGTTTCTGATAGTCAATGTCTGTGTCAAACCTACCTTAACA